GATCAGGGTTGTATCATTTTCTCAAGCTGAGATATATGCGGAAAAATGTCGCAAAACCTTTGGTACATCCGGTAACAATTCATTTTAGAAGCCTTCCATATTTTCCCTGCGTCAGTCTCATTTTTTCTGATGAATAAATAAGACATACATCATTCAAAAGAGCTCATTTGACTCTATCAGAAGACATTTTAATTCAATTTCTATGATTCATCCTCGCTGCACAATAGCCTCAGACATTTGTACGGATACTTTTGCATCGTGGGTTAGCTACTGTCTATAAGTAAATATTCAATCAAGAAAAAAGTAACAGTGATATAAAAAAAAATCACGATATGATAAGTGTTACTTATGCATAAAATGAGTCATTATTTCTATCTCTTAATAGCTGTCGCTTTTTTAATTAGCGTTAATTGCACCGCATCGTCGTCTCTATACGATCATAGCCATAATATATAATAAATATCTTTTATTTGCATATATGTAGAAAATACAAAAAGACATAAAACATCAAAATTGAAAAAAATCAAGATTTCAACCTGAATTTGAGACCCAAGTACTATAGCATCTTGAAAAATGCGTACAAACACATGAGTTTATAATGAACTCATTGATACATACAGATGGTTTATGCTACCCTCCCATTTCACCAGTGAGCACACAAAAGCACACACTTAACTTGGATTGGCATGCAAAGTGGTGGAAACTTCACAAAACTTGCTTCTATAAGTGAATAAATCAAACATACCAGGACGTTCACCTATTTACACACAAAATCCATCCTTTTTCTCGATCAGTATTCGCAAATTTATGCATCGCTAAGTTTGTTCGAGAAGCATGCACACATATGTGGATGTGAGTGTGGCTGGGATGCGAATGTATAGCAAATCTACACTCACATCATCCATATCCACACTCACCCACACCCAAATCCACACTCGCACCCCACACCCTCAAGACTTTATGAGATTCAGTTTTTTCGCACTGATCCTGAATATATCATTATTTTCTTTGAAAAGTGTTTTTGAGGAAAGAAAAATATGAAAAACTCTTTGAAACTAAAATTGTTTTGAAAGCATATATTTCAGTGCAGAAGCATTTGTGCATTCATAGTAGAGTTACATGAATTTTGGATCAGATCGGAAACTTCATGGACTAAAATTCAGGCCTCCCATAGTGTATTCTACATTACTCAAACTACCAAAAATCGCACATTCATTTTTTACTTAATGCTCACGTTGTTATTCACTGTCTGATAGACAAGTACGATACTTCAACATGTTCTGTGACCATTAACTTTTAACTTATTAGTTCTTTGATGAGATTGGTTTATTTTACGATTACTAAATCTTGATCCATTTCCGTTTTAATTCCATCATCCTTATTAGAGGTCTCTTTATTCGACTCCTCTCTGTGCTCTCACGAACGCGAAAAACGCACTGCTCCGAATCATCAAACCATGATGAATGCCATCATACGAAACCAGACAACGAAACGAAAGCATGCTATTAGAAGCAATGTTCACGCCTGTAACAGCCCCATCTTTCGATGCTGTGTTGATTGACTGAAAGAGATTATCCAATGAGTTTTCTGTTTTTCTTTCGATACACAATAAATAATTTCAGAAATGTGATTCATTTGAATAAGCATCCTGCATTTTTACTCGTTGTGCAATTATGGCTAGCAATTAGCAATATCCAATAATATTGTACACTGATACGAAGCATTAAGGATATAACCATTCTGCAAGGCCATTGCTAGACTTTTTAACCTAGTCAGGAGACTTCATCACCCATCAGAATAGCGGCATCCGTTATGTTCGTAATGTCTCATAGCAAAGCCTTAGATCTTTTGAACAACTTGAAGTTCTCATTATGGCTGATGAAACATTGATAAAACTTATAGAATCTTAATAGAATTCAACAGCTGCATACATTTTTTCATCATACTTGCATTGTAGATTTATTAAAAGTGTCTATGGAAGCAATTGTATTGTCTATCATAAAAGAACTTAAATTAAATGATGATCTAATAACAAATATTTATAATTATGGTTCATGGGTTTATGGTACTAATCATGAAAAATCAGATCGGGATTTTCTTATTATAATGAAAACTGACAATGAAAATAAACGAAAACGTTTAAAGTTTTGGAGGGATTTTGATTATTTTCATTCATTTGAATTAAGACGAGTAAATAATTGTGATGTAACAATTCATTCATGTGAAAATTTTGAATTATTATTAGAAAAAAATTATATGTTAGCTGTAGAATGTCTGTTTTATCCAAATGAATTTATTTTAAGAAATAATATTGATTATAAAACAATCTATTTATCAAAATATTATGATCCATTAAGATTAAAACACGTCATATTTTATGAAAACAATGATAGTTTTAAATATGTCATTGATAATGATGAATATGATTTCATTCGTTCTCAATCAAAGTCAAAAACCAATCCAACCATTGATCAATTTTTATGTGATGCTGTTCATACGACAACTATAGATGAAGATCGACTACTTAAGTATTTATTTCATGGTCTAAGATATTTAGATATTGGTGAACAATTAATTCGAACAAAATCAATACATGATTTTAAACGTGTATCATATGTACTATTTGAAATGAAAGATATCTATATAAATAATAATAAAGACATTGATTTCGTTATTGATTATATTAAAACAAAAAATGATGAATATAAAGCAATAATTAATGAACTATTACCGACAAATATTATTCATGGTACATTTGAAGTTCATATTACTGTTGAAAATCATAACATGGAAGAATTTCTAAATATCTGTAAAATAAATAATCTAAAGCCTATTTATATTCATTTATTTAATGGTAATAATCGTAAACAATTAATGACATCATCATATCATGTTGGAACATATCCTAATATTATTGAACAAATTAAAAAATTAGTCGATATACAATTTAGAAATTTTAATATCATAAGATTAAAAATCGAATCACCAGCGTTA